AACTTCATGCTGACTCCGGTGACCGAGCCACATGGACCAAGTGCTGTGAACACCTGGTGCCTCACAGACAGAACTCCTCCACCCACCGTGCAGAGAAGGCCCTTCTCCCCGGCCCAGCGGCAGGCTCGCCCCGGCACCGGAGGGTCCAGCGCCCGCTTCCACAGGTGAAGAGAGTACGAAAGCGCTCGAGTGCGAGCGTGAGTAAGCCAAAGGCGCGGGGTGGGGCCAACTGGGCACGGTGGCCATTTGGGGGTCCGCCTTGGGCGGGTGGTGCCATGAAGCTGTTTGGTAACTGAGTACTTACTTAGAAGGACAAGCCGCCCTGGTTCCTGTTTCTGTCTTACAACTCGGAGCAGTTGTTGACCCAACGTAGAACTTCAAGGGGGCGGATATGATCTACCATCCTCACACGCCTCCTTGCTGCGGCTGAATGAACCCCGAAGCTTGACGCGGTCCAGCACAACGACCATCCACGAAGGTACTCTCGAGGAGACTTAATGGATACCGTGAGGTTCCAAGAGCCATTGCTTTAATATTGAATATGCTTTAATTTTTGATAGTCACTAGTCTTTACCGAACAACCATTGTTGCACTAAGGATTTGTATTATATTATATATATATATATCTCCAGCTCAACCAATAAAAAACACAGTTTTGGAAGGCTAAGTGATATGGAGGTGGCCTGTGAATCTGTGCATTCTTCTTGTCACATGCCTTATCACATGTGCCACGCGTGGAACATTGCGGCCAGTTTGGGGGGGTTGAGAGAGGCTATCGAAGTTGATTCCTCCTTTTCACTAGCAAAAACTCTAAGATGTAGCTTCCTTACATTGAGAAATCGGCGGGGCCATCAGTTGGAACTCATGGAGATCAAATTTGCCAGGCTGAACCTGAGGGTCTTAGTCACATGATCAAATCATCCAGTCTTAGCCTTGAGGTCTTTAGTCTTGGGTCTCTTGGTCGAAGGGTCATGACCACCAACAGAGGTGGAAGGACACGACGGTTCGACCCTACATGCATTTAGGAAGCCGTCCTAGGTCAGGTCACTGGATACCTCTCCTGGCAGAGCCCGTCTCTGAGTTTCACTTTTCCTTGCTCTGGATGGTCTCCCCAGCTCACCTGGAAGCCCCAAGCCCAAGCCATCTGGGGCTGGGGGGTTGTGGCAGGTCAAGGTGAAGAAGCTAGGAAAGTCGAAACAAGGCCCACATGGGGCACGTGCGGCACGTGGCGGCACGTGGCTGGCGCGGGGCGAGCTGCGTGTGGTCTCGGTTTCCGCGTGGTTAGTCCGGGGGGATCTGGAGATGAGTAGGGTGAAGCCTCCGATGAGCGATCTTTTCACCACTCCTTTGGTGGGGAGGGGGTCCGGAGTTCCAAGTTTCTATACCAGCCCTTCAAACCTGGGCAAGCACGGTTGAAAAGAGATTGGCGACTGAGCCAGGGCGTCGCCTCCGTGTTTCGCCCGGGGGGGTCGGGGCATGGCGAAAGCACCTCGCCTCTGCCTCGCGAAGACCGGCTGAAAGCAGCGCAAGGATCCTCCGAGGACAGCGTGTGGGATTATATCCAGGAGAAGGACAAGGCGGCGCCTGATGTGAAAGACCAAGAAGACAGAGGGCGGGGGGGGGGGGGCAGCTCATCTCCTTTTCAGCCCATCCACCGGCTCCGCCTCGATGCCAAGCGTAAGAAACAAGGGGCAGCCCGGCCCCCCGCACCACCGTCCAGGCCCCTCGCACCACCTGCTCCGCCCCCACCACTTGTCCCAAACAGAGCGTCTTTGGGCCCCACCCACCCAGGTTTTCAGAGCTCCATGGACTCTCCCATTAGGGTCCCCCCGTCACCTGCGTCCTTCAGGTCACTGGAGATGGTCCGCCCACCCTCCGCGTGTCCGGCTCCAGGCCGCCTTAGCGGAGGGCGCCTTCATGGACACCTTCTTTGGCCAGGCCGTGCAGACGGTGGTGCCTCGGCGGCGCAGTGGAAGAACGTAGGTTGGGGGAGAGCAGTTGAGCACATAGCAGGTGGAAGTGATGAGGGGTTTCCCACTGGGAAAGCCTGTTTGTTTTCCAAAAGCGGAGTGTTTCAGTTTGACCAAGTGCTCCAACCTTTTGACAAAACCATACGAAACCATGGAGTTGATCAGTCCTTGATCCCCAAGAACCACGGACCTCCACCCAAACCGAGCACCACATTGAGTGCCGAGCGTGTGGCCGCGGACCGGAGCACGCCCCGTAGAACGACGGACCTCTTCGCGCGGCACCGCGCCGTTCGTCCGAGCCCGCGGCGTTCGGGGGACGAGACCCGAGACCTACATCGGCATCTTCGGGATCATCATCTGGGAGATCTATTTGAATACGTTCCTCAGCTCCGGACCTGGACAATTACTGTGCCGGACCGGGTCACGTTCTGGTTGCAGTTCTGCGGGGTGGGGGGAAGGAGGGCTCGAAAGGAGTGGGCGGCGGGTTTGGTGTTTCGTATTGGATGGGAGGATGGGAGGCGTTGGCGTTTGGGAGCAGTTTTTTGTGATTGACGAACATTTTGCAGTGCATTTGTGAGGTGATGAGGTTATGATGGCATATTTTAGGTTCTTCAATCCGTCTGTGGTGCCTTTGGCTCCTTATTTTGGGGTGTAGGTGCCACAGGCCTGTGCAGCCTGCGCAGTAGATCCGTGAGTGCATCGGGACCACTGGGTCTCCGCTGCAGGTTCCCAATAGCTGTGAGGAGTCCTGAATAGGATGGTAATTTGCCCAAAACCTCTAGTGACGTGATTTGTGATGCCCTACTTTCTTCATCGACAGTGCTCACTCTTAGTCTACATCGAAGGTGCCCAGATTCCAACTCCGGCCGTAGAGTCTCCCCTCGTTGGCTCCTTTGGGGCGGAATGACTCCATCGTCATCCTCCCGCACTGAATCCCATCGTCTCCTCAGCGCCCCGAGGATTTATCCCCGAGCCTCGCCGACCTACAACCCCATCAATCCCAGTGCCATGTACGACGACTCCGGCCAGGCCGGGTCGGTGGCCGGGTCGGTGGCGGGATGGAAAACGGAGCCCGGCTCCTTGGGGGATCGGTCCTGGTGGCTGTGCGAAAAAGCTGTGTGGGGGACATAGGAACATACAGAAACTAGATGAGTTTTGATTGGACTTCATAAATTTGCGTTTTTTTTTTTGGGGGTTGTGGATGGCACCACTGTCCAAATCTTTTTCTGCTGACCTTGATAAGTGGATCCGTTCCTTTTTACTTCACTGGAGTTCCTACCTCCAGCCTCCAGGTGGCCTACGACTAGAAGCCGCGCGCGTGGGCCACCTCGGCCCTGCCCTCGAGTCCGAAAAAGGAGTTCGACCCCCCCCGGGACCGGCGTTGGGACCGAAGAGGAGTCACCACGAAGGGCGTGAACGGGGCGACTTTCATCAGGGTGCCGGTTCCGGTTCGGGCGGACGTGGTGGTGCCCAGAACGTCCGTCCCTGGATGGGAGTGAAAAACCACCCAACTGCATGTGACTCCTGGTAGACATTCCTTAAGTAGGGGAGGCCCTGTACCTAGAAGGTCGTTGGATGGAAGCGTCAGGAAGCGCGAAAGGGGCCACTGGCCACACGCGCGTGAAACAGACCTAAGTGCTTCTTGTTGGAGTTGATGTCCAAGAGCCTCAGTTAAGAAAGGGCAGGGTCCTGGTCTGTACGGGTGGCGAGAGGGGTGCCGTCCGCCAGATGGATCTTTGATCAAGAGCCACTCTGTGAAGATGTCCTTTTCACTGTTCGCTTCTTCCGAAGACGGGTTGTAATGAACTGTTGGGCCTCATTGGATGCCTGGAGCCTTTTTGTGACCCCTGTTTTGATAGGAAGTTTGACCATATATTGGATCGTTGATCCTCCAAAACAGGGGTCACAAAAAGGCTCCAGGTGTACGTGCATGGGAACTTGGATGATCCAAAAGTCTCCCGCCCCAGCGGTGCTATGGTTTCTATCAGGCCAGCGGTGTTATGGGGGAGCCTATTGGCCCCAAGCAGGTGGATTTTTCCGTTGAGAGCTAGCTCAAAGGGTGTCCCCCAAACCTGGAATTTTTTGGGAGGCCTCATCTCCTCGCACCTGTGTGAGGGGTGTCGCTCTCGGTGTCGGGTACAAGCTCGAGCTGATGGGCCTTCACCTCGCTGGAACCGCTTTCGCTCAGGTTCGCGTGGGAACCTCAAAGCTGAAGTCGACGGACAGGGTCTTCACCCACCGGGCCAGCGCCGAGCACCGCGCCGAGCACACGCGGGCGGGCGCTGGGCCGCCCGTGCCACTTGCATGCCGGGAGAGAAAAAGGAGAGGGCGTGGTAAGGTGAAGCTCTATGGTGAAGCAAAGCGCTCTTTTGGTGGTCCTCTCCGCGCAACCGGAAAGGTTCCTAAGTGTCTAAAAGTATATTTTTGGTTTTTGTTTGCGGGGGTTAGGTAGCTTCTGGAAAGGCGTTTCGCCCGCACAGTTGTTCTAGTGACTGGTAGGGGCATGTGATGTGACCAACATGGTGGGTTTTCACGTGTGATGTGCGTGCTGGTGCCATGGGGGCAATCCAAGATTTGCGGAGATGCTTCTGAGAGCAGAGCTGCAATGTGTGGCCAAATGGAGTACGCTACACCTACAGCACGTTCATGGTCACAGAGCAGTACTTGTAGACTGTATACCTCGTATACGTATGACAACCTACGAGTGCTCCAGTGCTGCGCGCTGTTCGGCCCGGTTACCTGTGGTTCTCACACCTGCCTCTGCTGAGTGGCATTTGGCTCTCAGAACCTTCGGGGGGGCCGCCGGATGCCGCCGGGCCATTTCTGGTGGTTTTTGGTAGCTAAGGGCAGCCGAGCTGTTCGCTTCAAGACCACCTGGACCTCTCCATCAAAGACAGGTCTTTTCCTGAAGGATTTCATTTTTTCATGCAATGCTACTTGATGGTCCATCCCATCTAACAAGCGGCCAGCGATTTCTGGCTGGGACCCCGGAAAAGCACGTCTGCCAAAACTACACACCTTCATGCTGCCATGGGCGCTTCCGAAGCGCGTGTGCTTCGAACGCTTCGAGCGGTCCTGCTGGCCCTTCATGTGGCCACGGTTCACACGGTGCGTGAGGGGCATATACCAGCTGCTGCACACCTCCAGCAGCATCCAGAGGACGGTGAACATGAGAATCAGATGATGTTCTCTTTTTGCTTCGGTGATGGGTTCTATTTCGGCCGTAAACGTAAGTGAATTGTCGCGGATGCAGCCGGAGCAACATCATGAAAGCCAGCCCTTGGATTAAGGGAGCCACTCTTGCTTTAGAAAGAGTTGGTGTGTATATTGTATATATATATACACATATGCATACACATGGGTTGATGCCCCTAACTGCACAGCTTCCGCCCACACATCGCTGCTTCCTCTACTCCTTTGGATTTGACAGCGTTGGCGGCATTCTCCCACCAAGCAGATGGACATATGTACTCATCCCCTCCAAACATGTCTTGAAAACCGGGAAGCTCTCTGTTTGGAGACCGCTATGAGCCTCTACCTTCGCACATGCGACCTTCCTCGTTTTAGTCTCTCCATAGGCTCATGTGAATGGGAGTGGGAGTTTCTGTTTGGGTGTCACCTAGCATGGCTGGCAAAGGCTCTCATGTGAGTAGCGTTCCATCGATGGGCACAGCCAGAGCCCCTTTGGCCGTTGAAACTTCGTCAGCGATTCTGAGACTTGGGAACTAATCCTGGCGAACTCACCTCTGTCATCACCACGCTGTCCTGAGTCCTCACATATGGGTAAAGTGACCCCACTGAAGGAGTAGGGTGTGCTTGGTCGACGGCTTCCCATGTCTTGGAACCTCTCGGAGGTTGTGCTCAGCAACATGGGAGTGCCAGTCAAAAATGTATCTATTCCATTTGGGCCGCAGATGCCTGTCTGTCTGTCTGTCTGTCTGTCTGTCTGTCTGTCTGTCTCTCTCTCTTTTCTGTTTTCCTTCTCTTCTCTCAAGCAAGTAAGAAGATCCCCCTTAGAAGCGCTCCATGTTCAGAGGCCAAAAAGGCACCTTGCCAGACCTCCCAATCACAGGAACCAACCGTGCCGCCACGTCGCGCCAGGAGCCGAAGAACACCGACCGCCGCTCGGTGGAAGGAAGGAAGAGGCACTACCCGTGGATGCGGGAAGACATCAGGCCTACGTATGGCCACAAACTCAAAAATAGTTATATATCGTACAGAAATAGGTAGTAAATAATAGTAATACTAGTAATGAATAGCATATACATATATGTATATATCTATATCTATATATATATACACCCATCCGTGATGGTATGCTGTAGCAGCTGACCTTGTCGTTCCCACGCAAACCGGCGTGTCCTTGCCCAAAGGCGCGCGCCAAAGCACCGTCTCCATCGCTCTCGCTCGCCGGGTCTGCGCGACTCGGCCGCGGCCGAGGTCTCCAGTGCTTGCGGGAGGACAACTTGGACCTGGTGGGCAAGCTGGACGCGGACGAGCGCTACATCCTTCGGGAGGCGCGGACGCTTTGGGCCGCCGTCGTTTGCGGAGTCGGGGGTCGTGCGGAGTCGGGGGTATAGGGGTGGTTAGATGGTCACCCTGTGAAAGAGGTTGGTCGGGAGGACCCAGCAGAGGTTGAAGAACCCTATAGACTATCCTATAGGTACCCCTCTAGTGTCCTGTAAGGTCACTTAACCTCTGTAGGTACACTGGAAAACTTTTTCCCAAAAACTGCTTTCTCAGTGGGTGTCGGTCGGGTGGTTGGTGTGCGAAGGACGCCCAGCCATGACCGTCATTCGTCATGAGATTTGGGGTGAATCCTATATAGGTGCCACGTCATGCCAGGTCTGACCAGGCGAAACCACCAGGGAATCTGCGTGGATCTGCCTTGTGACCTGAGGTGATTCCCACGAGTGATGACACTTCAGGCAGGGATGGTGGTATGCGGGTGGCATGGTGGTATGCGGGCGTTCGGCCTTCCTTGGGTAGGTTTTGTTTTTTGTTTTTGTCGTGTGGACCGTGTGTCTTAGGCCCCCGCATTCATCTGAAGATGTGAAGATCACACATCAAGTGATGAGAAGTCGAGCCAATTTTGGTTCAAGTGAGGATGGATGTTAGGACAGCCACTGACCCTTTCAGTGAAAGATCTTTAAATCTTCTTTCACTGTATAACTAAACTATGCATGTTCTTTCCCTGCCCATGTTCTTTCATGCAGCATCACCGGTCAGTCGTTGGTTGCACCGGAGGCGACTTGTACGTCTTCTGCGAGCAGATCCAGGTCCACTCGTTGAACGCACGGGTTCACCTCAAGCGCGTGGGTGAGGTGCCCGGACCTGGATTGGACCTGGATTGGACAGAGGTGGTGAAACGAGGAAAGAAGGGGCATGAATGCGGAATGGAAGGGGAACTCAGTACCCAAAGAGCTTCTGGATGTGTGAGACAGCTCCTGGATGTGTGAGACTCTTCCAACCTTTGCGTGGGTCAAAGGTTGATGACAGACATGTCGAAAGAATGAACGGTTTGTATTCGAGCAATTTTTGTACTTTTTGCAGCACCCTGGTTTTGGCTTTAGTCGCTGACTTGATCCCTCTCGGATGTGAATACATCACATGTGCGCATCACATCCAGAAGCCGGCCGCCGACGGCGCGACCCTCGAAGAAGCGCGCCCTGCCAGGACGAGTTCGAGTTCAAGTTGACGGGGAACAAGCGGCGGCAAGGCGGGTAGACGGGACATTCCAACGGAGGTGGGTCAGAACCCGACTCTTCGGCTATCCCAGGAAACGGAACCCCAGTGTTCCGGGTCCTATGAAACCGGTCACTGGATACCTCTCTTGGTTCCCTTGGTGGCGCGAAGCATCGACTTCCATCGGATGCCGAATCGGCCGGTCCTCGGCCGGGTCCCGCCGTCCACCGGGCCGCGTCGGAGTCGCCGCCGGCGCTGCGTCACGACCCGGATGGGCCTGTACTCTTGCGCCAGGGCGCCCGGAGCAGGTGGCCAGTGGTGAAGCGTCCTTCATGATCCGCGGATTCGAGGAGGGGGCGGAGTGAGGTGATGCCGGAGAAGCCGCCGGAGCCACCGGGGTTGTGGTTGTGGTTTGTGGTTGTGGTTGTGGTTGTTGTTCCAGCTTCCTCTGCCAAGCTGAGAAGCTGGGAGTTTCAGCTGGGACCCGGCACGAGTGTTGGAAGTTTGACAGAAGAAGAAGAAGAAGGAGAAGAAGACCGCGTTCCTTTCCTTTCCCCCTTCATGCTCCTTTTGTGGGGGCTCTGGCACCTTCTGGCACCTTCTGCGCCAGATCTTGACGACCAGCAAGCTCATCAGCTGGGCGGCCTACCTCACGGCCAACGCCGATCAGCTCCGAAAAGGAGCACGGCTGGTGGTGGGGAAGGGGTGACTGGTGGTTGGGAGGCTGGTTGGGAGTATTTGCTTCTCGGACCTCTTTGTGGTCACGAGGAGGAGAATTTCAGGAGAATTTCTAGCTGGGTGAGCTTGGCGCTGTCAAGACCACACCTGCAACGCCGGTCTCCCCGTCTTCATTTCGAGCAGCTCGTCACCCCGGACGCGCTCCAGGACAGTCGGGGAAGATTTTCTTCAACCTCTCTGGGCGCTTGCGCGCGCGGAAGGTGAAGGGACACTGGGAGACAGCACCTCGACTTTGGGATACGGCGTCGTCCGGCGTCTGGCATTGTTTCTTGGAAGAGGCTTTTAGGAGACACCGTTTGCAGGGCTTTTTTCTTTTTGAATTCATTCATTTGGCTGGACGTCTTGGCAGTTTGTGCAGTCTGTTTTGGCCATTTGCTCCAGCGTGGACCAAATCAGCACTCTCACTCACCGGCCTCTTCGCACCCGGAAGCTGTTTAACGGCGTGTTCCTCCTCCAAGTACCTGGAAGGGTGGCGCGGCAATCCACGGATGACTCCCGACCCCGGAGAGCTCAGCCCAGCCCTGGACGAAGCTGAGCCCTCCGCGGCCCGAGGAGCTGGTCTCCACGCGGGTGGGCTTCTGGAAGCTGCAGCTTCCTCGCCGCTGGACGCTGACGGCGGTTCCCGGTCGAGCGTTTTGGGCGTTTGGGGCGTGCACCGTGGGCGGTCCGCCGAAGCGAGGTTCGAGCTCGAGCGCGGTGGGTGGTCTGGATCAGCAGGTGCAACAGGGCCGTACCAGGACTTGTGCCTGTGAGGGTCGTGCTCCTCAGGACAGAAGGTCATCGACTTTGCGTTGAACAACTGGAATCTGGAGAAGAGGTGCGGGATGGGGTGACGCAACATCCCAGTCACGGCTCATCTTTTTGGCAGTGGGTCCAGGCCTTACCACCGAAAAATCATGAACTTGGCTCATGACCTTATTTCATCTTGTTTCCACCTTGCGTTCTTGCGCCTGCGAAAGCACCCGCGAAAGCGCCTGTGGTTGAACGACGACACCGCCAGGATTTTGGATGAGCTCTACGGAGTGATCAAGGAGGCGCTTCCCGTGAACTTCTTGGCCGTCCTGACCTACCTACCCCTGCAAGGCTACAACAACCCACGAGGCTCGCAGTCTGCCGACACCGAGGATCAGGGGGTTTCTTTGCAGCATTATGCGCCATTTGGGGCGCCAGTCTCATCCAACATTTGGCAGGGATTGCTCCCAGCTGTGGAATTTCAAACACAAATGCAATTTAAATCCTTTTGCTGGCGTGGCCCGCCTCCCTCTAAGGGGTTTTGGCTCTAGGCGTTTCGGGCTTTGGGGGGTCCCGAGCCGTGAAGGAGGTTCGAACACGGTGTCCCACCCGAAATCCGAGTGAATCGCCCAGAGCCGTAGACCTCTACCAGGGCCTCCTGCAAGTCTGTCCACGAACCACCCCCCCCGGACCGTCCGGGTTTTCGGTCCTGGCTTTTCGTGAACTCGCGTGACGGGTTCTGGGTGTGTTTGGGGCCCAACCGACCGGAGGCGCCATGCCCGGGGAGTTCCGAGACCAGCGCCGAGGAGGGCTGGGCGCGCGGCGCGAGTGGGCGGTGTTGAGAGGGATCGACGTGCTGGACTTAGCAGAATGGGATTCAAAGGGGAACAATTTATCAGGTCTCCACCTGCTGGAGTGTTTCAATGCAATTGACAGAATCGGTAGGTAACCGGTAGTAGACCTATGTAGACCATTGACCCCTTTTTTGGTTCAGGGTTCTGCAACTCCAAGGATGTTGGAAAGGATCCAATTCGTCCCGCAGGAAGCCTCCAGCGAGGTGCCTACCACTCAATTCGCACGAGTCCCGCATCAGTCCGGTCAGTGCGCTTGACCTGCGCTGAGGACCACAGGAACAGGAGGACCTGGACATCAAGGTGTGGACGTCCGCTGCCCCGCGGTTTCCCAGCGACCGGACGTGGACGCCGCGGTGGACGCGGCATCGTGCTGCGACGGGTCTTCGCCTGGAAGATCAGGAGCCCTTGGTGTAGCGGTGGTTGTTCCGACCAGCAGCCCTCCAACCCATGAAAAGTAGAGGTTTTCACATATATACAAGATTATACAGTAAGAATAAACTATGCATATTTAGTTTGGGGACACCAGGTTTTGGATCGTTTAGTGGGGCCACCAATCAGAAAAGTGTTGGTTCTTAGAGGTTTTCCGAGGCGTCCCAAAAAGCCACCGGACCTTGGAAGGTGCTGGTAGATGCCACAGGGAGCTCCGCTCGTCTGGTCATGCACCGGTTTCATCGGCCACGGGAGACCGCAGGTGACGCTGCACGTGGATGCGAAGATGAAGGAGCCCAATGGGAAGTTGAGCGTGAAGACCCTCTTCCAGTTCAAGATGTGGCTTTGGCTGGGCAGGAAGACCGAGAGAACATCGCACCCTTCCTGACATCCGAGCCGAGCCCACCGAGCCGACGCCACCTCCGAAAAGCACCGAAAACTTCAACACCGCAGAATGCGGGAGGGGGAGGAGTCATTGTTGGGGGTTTGGTCCATCATCACGATGAACATCGGGTTGGCTTGCGTAGAGCAACGCTCACTTCAGTGACCTGTCAAGTCCACGATCAGTCGCGAACCAGACAAACTGCATGTGCGCTCGCCCTGCTGGTCATGTTCTAATTACAGTCATCTTCACAGTCGCCGGTCAGTTTTGTGAGTGTTTTATTTTCCAAAAAAAAACGATCAAAATCACAACCCTCCACAGCAGGGTCACCATCTGCGACTAGAAAAACCAGTCTACAAAATCAGCCTCCAAGCCATTTCGGAGACCTGTTTGGCTTTCGGGTGCTGCTCGTGGTGCTCCGGGCACGGCACGGCTCGGTTGCGGGTGGCGGGTTGCGGTCGGACGACCGCTGCGAGGCAAGTGGATCCAGTGCCCCTCTTGGATGCACCTGGGACCGGACCGGGCGGTTGGGCGGTCCGGAGGTGAACACCCACGAGCAGGGGGGGGGTTGGAGAACAGTTCCAGGGTGAAGGCCTGACCCAAATAGGTTTGAATCGGTTTTTTTACAGGGCGCAGGGTTTGGCCATGTTTGGCCGAGATTCTGGGAGAGGTTTTCGAAGAAAAAAGAGGTTTTCGCGACGGACGACTGAAGTGTCCAGGCAGATTCCGGAGGTTGGAGGTTTGGATTCTCAGGCGCTGGTGTCTCTGTTTTCCAAACCAGAAAACTAGATTTCCTTTGAGAATTTGTGAGAGAGCTTGGTGGATGAAGGTGGTCCCTATCAGTCAAACGGGTTTTCCAAGTCGAACCACGTTGACTTCGTAGACTTGCCACGTTGACCTCGTGAGTGCCGCTCCCGCTCCCGCTGCCGTTGCCGGAGCTGCCGGAGCTGCGCGCGACGCGCGCTGCGTGATGCGAGCTCATCGTAAAGCGTGCGTGACGCGTGGCGGCGAGGTTTTGGTGCAACACTTCGATGTGAAGGAGATGGCCATGGAGGCCGTGCGGAAGCTCTTAAACTCCCAGGACGGACTTGACTTGGGGTGCTGGGTGAGGTCGGTAAGGAGTGGTGTTGGCAGCTGAGAGGAGGAGTTTCGGCCGTTTCTTCTGGGGGGCGGTCGCCAGAAGAGGACAGGCAGCGCCTCCGTTTTGGTTGGCTTTCTCTTTGGGTATCTTTTGGTCGTCTTCTCTTTTTCATCTATTTCTGAGCTCCCCTCTCGTTCTGTTTCTCTCTCTTTCTTTGCTTCCCTCCGATCATTCAAACTTCCCTAGCTTCGCCCTCTCCGGTTACTTCCTCACATCTCATCTCCCCGGTTGGAGTCGCCTCCGCCATCTGGGAACGACCTAGACTTCTTAGCCGGGCCACATCTGTTCCCCAGTTCTTTAGCGAACTGATGCGGACCCTAGACGACTCGGGTCCCGGCCAGGACGTCATCGAGTCCTGGGCCCTGGGCAGTCCGGAACAATTCTTGGAGACCTTACGGCAATACCGCGCCTCGGTGGGCAGAGGATGTCAGAGGCCCGCTCGGTTGAGGTCCGTCTGGGCGGGACCGGCGGAAATGAGCGGAAAAGGCGGTCTGAGCGGAGATCAGAGGACTCGGTCGGTGCGTGGGGGTGTTTGGGGTTGAGGTGGGAAGCTGACCCACAGGATTCCAAGACTCTTTTCATGCAAAATTGTGTGGTCGTTTTGATGTTTCTTTGGGCAGTGGCCACGTATCAGGCAATTGAGCTGATAGACCAAAACCAACCACATCTGCAATCATCTGTGGACCATCTGTGGATAATGCCCCCTTATGCCTCTCCGCGCCTTGAGGCTTCGTCTTGAGCGATGCCGTGCGGCAGTTGGTGACCAAAGAAGGGGCCAGCATCGAGGAGAGCGGTGACGGTCGGTCCGGTCTTGTCCTCAAAAGAGTTCACCATGGAGGCAATGGAATGGGTTTTGGTGGAATGTCCCGCCTGAAGGCGGGGGCTTTGGGAGACCTTTGGGAGACCTCTCCCAATTTCAATACACGCCCAATCACACCCACACCCAAATGAATCCTCTTAGGAGTTTGTGTTGACCTCAATCCCCCAATTGCTGTGTGGGAAACACATCAATTTTACGCAAGCCTGGTAGTGGTGGATCTTGACTTCCAGGTAGGGTCAAAGGATGGCGGATGGGACGGGTGGGTGGGAGTGGCGCGGTCTGCGCGGCTCGACGGTGGTCACGGTGGTCCGGTTGAGCTGAGCGGATCCTCGTTGTCTGCGTGCCCATGCAGACGGCTCACGTTCGAATCGGCTCGCAGGGCCTCCGTGTGGTTGCTGGAGCTCCTTCTGCCCTGCCAGGATTTGATCCCCTTCTTGCTGGAGGCCGCGGAGCAAAGGGCCAACGACATCTTAGCTCCTCGGGGGCGAACATCAGGGGTAAACATGGGGTGGATGTTCGGAGTGGTGGTGCGGCCTAAACCGACTGATTGACATGGAAGTGGGCCATTTAAACGAGCAAAGATGTCCGAAGCAAGTTTCTTCTTGGCTCAATGCCCCATGGAAAAGAGGAACTTTGCAAAGAGTCCTGAGGCTTTGACCGGCGCAAGACAACGCCAGAGCCCAAAACTGAGTTCCCTGTTCCCTGCTCTCCCCTGCGCACGGCTCACCTAGAAGCCCCGGAGCCATGTTGGGTTGTGGAGTGGAGGGCTACGACGCTACGACTTGCAAAATCTTGTCAGTTTTTTAGACCCCAGCTTTACGCTTTCACTCATTGGGTTTGTGATGGCACACCCATCTTTGAGCCAGACCCATTCATACCCACTCTGTCTTGGAGGGTCTTCACCAGGTCTGCCACTTGAGCAAACCGCCCTGCGCTCTGCTTGTTCCTCGCCTGCTGAAGTCCTTGTTGCTTCTGAGGTGAGTGGTTTGGCCCCCTTGGTGAAGGCGCTTCTGGTTTCAGGGGTGGCATCTTGGAATGGCGCCTCTTTCGACCATGGTCAAGGCGAAGGTCTCCATACCCTGGAAATCGAACCACCATTTTGTTTCATAGGCTTATTCCGGGACAGCCATGTTTAACACCACAAAAGCTAGATCAACCAACTTAAAAATGGTCTTGGACCTCCAATTCATACATCGCCTCCATCGGTAGCCAACGTCCCCAAGGGGCAGATGCGACCCAGGACCCTCCTAAGTAGGGGGCCTCAATCCCCTATAGTTTGTTGAGAGCGACCACAGGGTTTCGGCCGGCGCGGGCTCGCGCGGCAAGCCGTGCGAGCTTGGTGAGCGTTCTGGGAGGCTCACAAGGCTGGAGAGCATGGCCTGTTGAACAACTTCAGCGTGGCGGCCCCAGCGATGGAAGGTGATGGGAAGAGATGAAAGGGCTGGTACAGCAGCCCAGAACTCAGTCTTTACATTTACTCAGCATCATGCGGCGTTTGCAGTGATAAGCGTATATTTTACAGTAGTTTCAGAGTAGATGGCACAGACCTCATGATGTCCTTTATGGAGGTTCATATAAACCACCTCCTGGGGTCTGTGCCATCTACTCTCAATCCACTATAGCCCAGGCGAATCTGCTGAGCACCGCCAGCTGGCGCGGCGCCACGCGGCTGCTGGAGGCCTCGCTGGAGCCCGGAGAGGCCACGCTCTTCCGGGTGCCGCTCGGCAACGCGGCGGGCGGGCGGTTTGCTGCGACATGGGGGTGTCGGGGTGTGGAGCTTTGTGTTCTTGCGGTTTCATATGATGATTGATGATTCTTGGGATATGTTGGGATGGGCCTTTTTGTTGCGGCGGCCTCTCTAGGCCTGCATGTAGACCCTGAGCTAAGGCCGAAGCATGATCATTTAGTGCTGGAGATGAATCGAAGTCTGTTGGAGAACTTGGGCCTCCGCGTGGCTCGGCGGACTGCCAGGGCACAGAGGGAGGAATTGGCGGGTCTTCAGCGGCTGGAGAGGGAAGGGGAGGGTGAATCGGCCCGACAGGATCGGTGGAGAGTCAGGCTGAGTACGGGTGGGGGGTGTTTGGGATTCCAACCGGAGGGGGTTTAGACAGTTCTACGGCATACGGCTTTAAGTTTAACAAGTTCCCGAGGTTGCTTTTGACAGGCTAATCTGAAGTCGGGTGGTGGGTACTTTGGTGGAACGAATCTTGAGTGTGCCAATTGCATCTACTGCTCATGACTGCATGACGGGGATGGTGACTTTTGCGACCGTAACCGGTGTATTTCCAGACAGTTGCATTCATCGGTGTTTTTCCAACCTGTGGCCGGTGTTTTTTGCGACGGTCAGCTGTCGACCGGTGTTTTTGCGTCGGTTGTTTGGTGTTTTTGGCGACCGTCGCCGGTGTTTTTTCGACGGTGACAGGTTACGGTGTTTGTTGCGACGGTAGTGGTAGCAGTAGCAGTAGCAGTAGCAGTAGCAGTACTATAGTAGGAGTAGGAGGAGGACGAGGAGGAGGAGTAGTAGTACTACTACTAGTGGTAGTGGTAGTAGTGGTAGTAGTAGTAGGAGTAGGAGTAGGAGTAGGAGTAGTAGCAGTAGCAGTAGCAGTAGCAGTAGTAGTCAAAGTCCGACTGCGTTTGTTGGTCACTTGCGCGTGTGATATTTGAATTTAACGGTTAGCCGTTCTTCTTCCTTTTTGTGCTTCTCTACGTATCTCTACGTCTATTTCTTGAACAAGGCCTTTACTAATCACATCCACCATCATCATCCACTGTTACAGGGAATGGGATAGAACGACCCAACTCATACCCCTTTTTGAGAGCACTGGTAGTGTCGCTGCCGCTCCTTTCCGAGGGGCGTTTGCCGGTGCCCGTGAAGGACACGGCCTCCGAGCTGACAATCGAAGGCAGAACGCGGAACGGGGGCGATGGTGGGCCGAAGTGGTCGGAGATTCGGCACGAAAGAGGTGGAAAAACTGGAGATCTGAATTATGGGACCTTCTATGTAGTGACCAGGGTCAGGGTCACTAGAGTGAGACATGGCTTCTTGGGGCTGTGACTTGCAGAGCATGTAGGCCCGGATTGCTCCCCTTTTTGGCCTCTCCCGGATTGATGGGTTCCTTTTTTTGGATCACCAATCACGCCCCGTGTTCTACTTCTAGGGGGCTAGATAGCCCTTAGAAAACATCTTTTGGATGTTGATGTTCTGATCTCTTCTTTTGGAACCGGGGCGTAGCGGGCACCTCCAACAGGGACACTGTTGATGGACCAAGAGATCTTGCAGTGTGTGCGGAGGTGATGAGGACCCCTGGCATTCGGCCAAAGTCGAGGAGTTGGTGGGGTCTCTTCGGTGACAGCCGTGGGCCCCCCCAAAAAAATGTTGCCAAGAAAAAGGACAGGCTGAACTCGCGAAGCTTCTTGCAGGGCGCCCATGAAACCTTTGACCTTGAGCAGCCTTCCAAAGCCGGGCCGCTCCCATGTCCCCGATTTGGCACCCCCTTGCTCCTCCTGCTCTGCTTTCCTTCCAGGTGTGACCTTCGACTCCCGCACGCTGCGCGTTCGCCGTGGGCATGTGACCAATTGGCGTCACCCGGAGAACGAGAACGGGGATCGCTCCTGGGAGGCTCCGCTCCGCGTGCTGCGCGGCGCCCGTCGCGGCGTGGCGCGGACCGTTGGTTTTTGGAGCCCGCCAGGGGGATGCAGAGTCCGCCCGTCCAGCAGGAGGTTTCATCGCCTCCTAGTCCTCGAACAGGCAATGAGTTGTACGAAGGATTGGCGCACGACATGAACCCTGCGAACCCGGGAGGCCAGTTTAACGAGTGCATATTTTTAGAATCACTGCATGACTCTGCACGCCCGCTCTCCGATCACTTTTGGTACACTTCCTCCGATCATCGTCGATCCAGGCAGCCGACATGGTGGTTCACGGGTGTATCACGGGTGTTTCACGAGTGTTTCACGGGTGAATCACGGGTGAATCATGGGTGCATCACTGAATCACGGTAAACATCCAGTTCTTCTAGTCTCTAATTCTCTAATCAAGTTTAACTAGTCTCTAATGCAAGTTCAACTAGTCTCTAATCAGGGTCTGTTCACGGTGAATCACGGGTGAATCACGGGTGGGTCACGGGCGAACCCGGGGGGGCCACGGTATCGCCGTTTTCTTGAGCAATATTGGCTAGACGTAATATATTTGTTTATTGCAGAATCACTCCTGGTACTAGTTTAAAGGGGGTTAGAGGTGGCTAGAGACTTTAAAGGTGAAGTACGTTCATGTGAATGAATGTGTTATGAACAAGTTTAACGAGTACTTTGGTTCATAGGGAAGCCATCTCCATGATGTTTCGGTCGAACGGAAATAGTATAGGGTGTCCCTCCAAGCAGGTGGAAAGCACTTTGCTGCGCGTGTATCCCCGCTTGGCTTCACCTGGATTCGCGGGTGTGGCAGGTGGAAAGCCTGGAATTGGCGAACATGCTCCTGCAACTGCCACAGGTCGAGTGGGTCCCACGTTGACGGACGGTGGGTCAACTGAACGTGGGGGGGAGATGGCGGGAGACCGCCCACCCTGGACTGTCCGAAACCAGACGAGTTCGACCACTTGCCCTTCTTCCCCCAGCTTTCTGTGGCATTCCTCATCCCATATGCATTTACAAGGGGGGCCCCAACCACGCCCCAACCACCGCTCCGCGCCTGGACGCCGCGACGCCGAAGCAGGCCGCGGTGCGGCGCTTCAACGCCACGCTAGATCGCATCCGGGTGATCTTCCAGGACGAGTTGGTTCAAGTGAAGGGCTTGGACGATGGCCTCCAGGCCCCATGGATATGGCTCCGCTCCGCTTCGGCGGGGCGGCGTTCCGGGTTCGACGGAAGGTCCCGGGGTTTGATTCGATGCCGTTTCGATGTCCCGTGGGCTGTTGGGGCAACTGTTCTGGAATCAGTCCGGTACTTGATGCAACACTTCTGGAACCAGGCCAATGACCCATATTTGGCAGGCTGTTCGGATGAGCACCCAGTTCAATGCCCAGCCAAGTCTGGAGGGAGTGCATGTCCTTTTCACTCTTGAGCTTCGTTTTGTTTTCCCATTTGTTGGGTTGTGAGGGTCCGTTTCGGCTCATGACCCTCCAGCCTGGGACAGTGACAACACAAAATGGTCCCTCCCAAACTTGTACCATCCAATTCTCCGAGCGGGCCACGCTCCCAAAAGGTCATTCTGGGCTGACGCGTCGGCGCGGTCTGCTTCGACGGCGCCAGGTGAAGAAGCTGAAGCCTCGCCAGCCGCCCCTCACCGCGCTCGCGCGCCTGCGCAGCGGCGCGCCCGAGCGCGCAGACGGGCAGGTGCCGGTGCGGTGGCAGCGGACCATCGAGCACGTGGAGATGGAGCTGCGCCTGGGTGGAAAGCCGAACCCCTGGGGTCAAGTGGCAGGTGGCGCTGGTGTGTGTGTGGAGGCGGATGGCTTGCTTCGGGCTGAAACAGCGGGTGCTTGGTCGCTGGTTCGTGAGGATGGGGCAAGGAAGGGAATCGGCGTTAGCTTCTTCTTCTTCTTCTCGTTTGGCTATCCAGGGCATTTTCCACCGTGTTTTGGGATGTAGGCGTTTGGGGACCCAAAAGCAGCCACCCGCCGTCCATCGGATTGTCGTCCGGAAACCTTGGGCCGGCACCACATCCGCCGTTTGCTGTGGGTTTTGCTCGCCCCCCCCCCCGTTACCTTAGAGGAAGTCCAAGACCACAAAGAGTCCGAAAAGAGAACCGCAGATGGCAGGTTTGGCATGGAGTCATGGTGCCTCAGTTCAGGATGAAACCTTCGGAGAAAACCAGACATTTCGCTGGAGTGCACCAAACACACCCAACTCATCCCAAATCCTCTCTGAATGCCCTTTGTCTCGCCAAAGCCATGGACACAGGTCCATTCAGGTCCACCTTTCTGCCACCACCGGTCCGGTGGCGCTGACCTTCTTCCAACACCCCGGCGCAGCGCCGGTGGCCCCATACCGTGGCCGCCGAAGGCCGTCGAGACCGTGACCGTCGTGTGCTCCGCCGAGGTTGGACTTTGTGGACTCGGTCTCCACGACGCTCTTCCTCACCATCAAGGGCACGGGACAAGGCCCCGGCCGCGGCGGACGGCTGCCGCGGGTTCGGTTCCGCGGATGAAACAGGCGGCGCACCGGGCCGAGCAGACGAGCGCCGGAAACGAGCTGCTGGTGCTCGGGTTGGCGCGTGGGTAGGTCTCGTACTGCGGGGGCAGAGGGGAGGGCGGGGGGCCAGGTGGGCCGAGTGGAGGCCCGCGACGGCCGAAACGAGGGAGGAGGGCATTTCGAGTTCGAGGACGACTCGCAACGAAGAGCCTGTCGTCTTCCGGCTGACCGTTCAAAGAATTGTTCACCGGCAGACCTGGTCTTGATAGTGTAAAATCCTTATTTCATAGTTGGTTGATACCCTCAACTACTTAGGGTGTCCCATGGTAGTAGTTGCTCCTATGTTGGTTGGGTAGTTGGCCTATTCATGGCGGGCCGGGATGCCTAGGGAGCAGCAGCCCAAACTTCAGATCTCTGGTCGCGCGTCCCGTCGAGTCCGGTGTAGTGGATCCGGGATCGGGAGAAAGCCCCACTCAACAATACTCAACAGCCAGCAGTCACAAAGGGGTGCGATCCATGGAGGTTCGGAGTGCCCATTATCCACTCACTTAGGGACCAAACACAACCCCTTTGTGACTCCTGGAGTATATAGGTGGGTGGAACAGTTCGGCTGAAATCTACTTCAAGTACTTCCTGCTATACTCTGCTGCTCGGATCCTTCTTCTTCCTCTTGCAATATCTTGGGAAAAGGATCCGGGCCGGCGAACCGCGTGTTTCTGGGCCTCCCCCGGAGTTTCCCCGTCGGTGGAGTCTCGTCGGAGCCTCGGCGCCCGCGAACCACCCGCGCCTTCGGCTCGAGGCGGCTTGGAGCTCTCCGTGGAAGGCCCCCTTCACTTCGAGGTGCGACCGTTCGAGGTGGTGCTCGCGAGCTGTGGCTCCATGGTCCATGTTCATCCATGTTTGCCAAGTGATGGGGAAGCTGTGGACATGTGATGAGTTACTGTTAGCTATCCCTGTTGCTACCGACCATCTCAAATGGGTGTGGTCAAGCACGCTTCGTTTCGTTTTATGTGGAAAGGGGTATGTTTATTGGGTGTAGTGTTTGGGGGCCTCCAGAGAGAGGGCTTTGCCTTGTGAGGCACCGTCGATCCTTGGATCGCAGGCCGCGCCTGGATGGTGTGCCCATGGAAGACCCTGTCAACAGGATAACGGAGCCATTTGGTAGGGCGTGCTTGTACCAGGACACCCTAAGGGGTGTCTATTGATAGCCCCAAAAAGAGGTTAAGGGGTGTCCATTAACCACCCCGACTGTGGGTCTTGGTATAGACATTCTGCTATAGTCTATAGAAGGTAGGGATGAGTTCAAGTACCGCCAGTTTCTCAGACCACCTCCCAAGTACCGCGCCAAAAAAGCGAGGATGAGAGCGGTCGCTAGGCCTACCCCGTAGGCTGATGAGAGTGGGCCGGACCAAATCGCGGACCACGACCCGTGCCAAAAAGAACACTTCGGATTGCTACCTTTGCCGATCAGTTGGGGTGGTTTTTCATTTCGGGGATCCGGCATTTGGACCACTCCGAAGTGTTTGGGTCAGTTTGCATACTAGGACCCCACAGGAGTTGGGTGGTTTATGGACACCCCGCTATCAAGTTCGACACCCCTGGCCCGGGTGTCTTGCCCCAGCAAGCCTGCAGAGCCGCAGCTTCAGACCCTGCAGGTGGAGATGAAGCCCTTTTTGCAGGAGCACTTGGCCAGTCGACCGCGGCAAGACTTCGGCTACCCGGTCGAAGTGGTTGAGGGTCCTGTTGAAATTCACCTCATCCCCATGGACCCCGTAGCGTTGGCTCAAGGTAGAGCAAAAGGTAGCGCTTACCGGGCTAGCAGGGTTAGCTAGGTAGTTAGTACTATTAGAGCTGATCCTGTAAAATACAGGTTATCAGCCGTAGGCTAGCTAGATTAGAGCTATGGACCCAATGGATGACGACGTCCCACCGAATGCCTATGGAAGTGGCTTTGACATAGTTCCGAGTGTGCCCAATAGTTTGGATGCAGTTCAACGGCATGAACAGGCAGTTGCACAAGTGGCTGCAATGGATCCAAGGGTTGCTTCGGAGGTGTACCAAGAGATGCTAAATAGTGGTGGTAGTGTTACTCTTCAAGAGGCGACACAAGCTACCCTAGCAGGTATGCCGTCAGCCACCGTAGCTGGTGCGCCAACAGTAAACAACTTGTTGGCAATGACTCGGCTCAACGTCGTCAACCTGAATGCAACGCCAAACGACGAAGAACTACGACGGGAGTTACAACAACATGAGTTTTTGCTCAGCGAACAAGCCAGGAGGGAAGCTGAAATCGAGGCATTGCGCTTCAGGAGTATTTACGAAAGAGAAGCTTCCGAATCTATAGCGGCAACAAAGGCTGCCGCAGAGCAGGCAATGTTGAATGTTCAACAAAGGGCCCAACAGCAAGAACAAAGTGTTCAGCAAATGGTTCAACAGCACGACAATGTTGCAACCAAACGGTTGCAAGGTACATTGGAGGAGCAAAGGGAACATTTTCAACAGCGGCTAGCTCAGGCAACAGCAGCTCATGAAAAGGTTGTACAGGAAAAGAATGCCTTGGCAGAAGAAGGCAATGCTTTTGTTGACAGAATGAGAACTGAACATCGCCAGTATGTTGAGCAACAGGAGTCCAAGCTGAAGGCGGCCGTAGAGGCAAAGGATCAGGCAAGACATTCGTCTGCTGAAGAATCCCGGATCGCTATAGAACTTGACTTCAAGCGAGAACAACTGGACAGTTCGTTGGCAATTGCACAGGCAAAGATCAAAACCCTTGTTAATGAAATGGAGGCTACAAATAAGCAACATAGAGTTGATCGGGAAACACAAGAGCAAACTATAGTTGAGCTTCGCAAGGACAATGCAATGTTGAAGGGTGAAATGGATGAGCTCAGGCGTGTCGTACAGTCCTTGACAGACAGGGAAGAGGAACGCAAGGAAGCGGAGCGCAAAGCGCAATCCTCTAGCCCCGTTAAGCCAGGGCCGCAATACCCTGAGCCATTCACACCTCCTGCTCGACAAGATGCTCACCCAATTGGTCAACCGCAATCTTTTGAACCTCTACGCACGGAAGGCACTGTTCCAGCAACCTTAGACGGTAAGCCCCTTGATAAAGGTGGATCTCCTATAAAGACAGCTATGGATGCAACAGCGTCCGTGCGCAACACAGGATTCCCATCAATGTTCTCAGGGACAGGGGCGCCCGCAGCGGAACAGGCAACGGCCTCTACAGACAGGCAACAATTCAAACAACCGGATCCGTGGATGGAGTACATGAAGAAGTCAACACAATACAACTTCAGTGATGATCCTTTGTACAAAAGCTCCTTTAATCAGGAAGCAACAAAGACTAAGGATGATCGCAGAGAAGAAGGGCCGGCTTCTCAGGTAAGAACTCCACAAGACCAAGATTTGGGGGAAATCATCAAGAAGGCCTTGCTAGAAGGGTTTAAGGGCGCTAAAAGCAAAGACTCCGATAAGCCCAAGGCAAAGGAGGCTGACAAGATAGATCTCCCTGAATTCCCAAGTCCTGACAGGTACCGCACTTGGAGGGCCGCGGTTCGCGAAGCGATACGGTCCGCGTCCGATGACCCAGACGCTGCGTTCGCATGGGTGCTTGAGGTGTACGCCGTTCGTGAAGACAAAGCCAAGCTTTGTTCCGAATTGGCTGACCCAGGCAAGTTTCGGACCTTAGACACGAAACTACTTGCTGCTTTAACTAAGGTTGCCAAAGGTGAACTGTCTCAGCAGATCCTTAATTATAAGGAATCTGAGGCACAGCAAGGTCGGATCGTCCGTGGTCGTCAGGTGTTGCTCATGTTTGAAGTCCACTTCAAGACCAGTGAAGAAGCGGGTGCACTGTATGGCACTGAGGACCTCCTCAAGATCTCGCTTGATGGCGACGACTTGAAATCCTTTCTAAGAAAATGGGAGAGTGTTCTGACCGGAATGAGTCATGTCCCAGACCCGGCAACTCTCAAGGATTTGTTTTATAGAGAGGTTAGGAAGTCCCGCAAGCTCAGATTTGACCTTGATGTTTATGAACGAGCGCCGGAGGGAAGTAACGACAGAAGCTATGAATTTCTTATCAATTCTGTTCGACGTTACCTTGACAGGGAAAGGCTCAGGACCAATCGCGAAAAGATATCACAATCACACGCGGCAAAGTTCGCAAACCCGGCACCGCACGACAAGCGCACGCGAAGCCCAAGTTATGGCAAACGAAGCACAAAGGGTGACGGAAGCAATCAATGCTATGAGTATGCCAAAACTGGTAAGTGTAAGTACGGGAGCAAATGCAAGTACTCACACGACTCTAGCGCCCGTCCCCGCTCCCTTAGTCGGGAGTCGTCTCGTTCGCGTAGCGCAAGTCCGAGCAGCCGTTCATCGTTCAGGTCAAGCCGATCTCGAAGTTCGTCAAGACACACTTCCCGCTCCAGTTCAAGGAACTCATCAAGAAGCTCAAGTAGAGGGAGGAAATCTGACAAGCCATGCAGGTTCTTTGCAAAGGGTAACTGCAAAAGGGGTGACAAATGCCCGTTTAAACACGGAGACACCGCAACACCAGCCCCGCGCAGAAGGAGTCCCTCGCCCGCAGCTAAAAGGTCTAAGGACAAGAAATCCAAGAAGGACAAAAAGGACAAAAAGAGCAAACGGGAAAAGAAGGACAAAAGTCCAAAGGCCAGTCCATGTATTCAAACAGGTTTCGCAATGTCTTGCTTAGCAGTAACCGCAACTCGGACCCAAAAGAGTAAAGACTACTGGGAATTCTCCAAAGATGGCAATGAGTTGATTAGGCACCATTTGAAGCCTAGGCACAGGTCGTTTCTCCCAACACGTAAATCCTGTCCAGTTGAGTCATCTAGGTTGGAAGACCAGTTTACCATGGTAGTCACTGACTCAAAGGGAAAGAGTAGGACAATCAAGGGTAATTGGAAGAAACACCCAAACGCGAAACAGAAATTTGATTGGACTGGAAAGTCAATTTTCCGTGTTGTGCAAGAGAAGAGAATTCGTTTTGAATTAGAACCGGAGGTACACACCTTTCCTGTTTGGAAGGAAATGTACCGGCATGTAGTGAATAAGAGCAAGAAGCGGAACCTGTTCCGGACCACTGAGGAATGCCCAAAGTCCCGCGAGTGTGACACTAAGGACGCTATTTTGGCAGCGGAGTCACTTAGGCAGATGCTCGTTTCGATGGATACCGAGGAGCCTGCGTGTGATTTCCTTTGTGAGCATTCCCCAGAAGGCCCCGATGATTTGTGCTGCACAAAGTGCAGAACGGTTGTCGGAGAACAGGTGCCGTCATGCGCTCGCTTAACAGCGATGCCAAATATGGTTGGTATGGAGAAGTGGCTCGGTGACACTGGCACTGACCAGGACATCGTAGGCAAGGACTCTAAGACAGTCAACAGGGCCACCAAGATCTTCAAATCCAACGAACCAATCTCCCTCACTACTGCCAATGGACCTATCACTGCTGACGAAGTAGTAGAGGTGATCTTGCCAGGGTTATGTGAATCCTTCAACCCCTACATTCTCCAAAGTACTCCCTCTGCACTTTCAATTGGTTTGAGGTGCTTAGAACAGGGATATGATTTTGTTTGGGGAAAGGACACTACTCCCATATTTCTTCGACCTGATGGACAATGCGTTAAATTCGAATTGCAAGGTAGGGTTCCATATATTGATGAAACATGTACCCCATTCTCAATTCCTGAATCACTGAGGACTCGCCTTACTAAGGTACTCGATTCCATCCACCAGTTCACCATCGACCAGGGCTACGCCATGGCCAGCCATGAGTCTGAACCCGAGGAAGACCAAGAGGAGGCTGACGAAGCTGGCGTAGATGCCAATGCCGATGATGGACAGGAGGACGAAGAGGACAGTGACCCAGAAGTTGAGGTTCCTTTTGATTTTGAAGACGTTCCCGTAGCAGGGGAGAAGACCGAAGAGCAACTTCGAAAGGAAGCAAAATCAGGGGCGCATCAATTCACACATCGACCAAAGAATCCCTACTGCGATGTTTGTAGCGAAGCTAAAATGCTTGCTCCCTACGGTAGAAGCGTAGGCGGATCACAACATGTTTTGGCGCGTGGGTTTGGCGACCACATAGTGTGCGACCATGTTATTCCCAAAGATATTGAAGAAGGCATAGAAGGCCAAACGTCAATGTTGGTGATCAAAGATATTTATACTCAATACAGATGTGTTTACCCTTCTGAAAACAAGACTGCCGATTCTATTGTTAAGGCTTTCAAACATTTTCTGAAGACTTCTGATATTGTTGGTATAGTGTACACCGACAATGCTCCAGAAATGCTGGATGCCATAGAAGAACTTGGTTTCAAACACCAGACTTCTGTTGAATATCAACATTCCACCAAGGCGGTTGTTGAGCGTGAAGTCCGCACCATTCTGGAAGGGGCGCGCTCCAATCCCCTCCAGGCCAATATGCCTCTTTCTTTGTGGCCTTATGCCTCCAAACATCATGCGATGGCCATAAACATTGTCAAACAATTGAATGGTGGTGATCCACCATGGGCACTTCGTTTTGACAACGGATTTCTTGGTAGGCAACTTCCTTTTGGATGTCTCCTTTTCTTTTGGGAAGGTAAGTACGAACCAAAGAGAGGAAAGTTTGCCCCCAATGCCAAGAGAGGTGTTTTCTTAGGATACAACATTCAGGCCGGACATGTTTGGAGGGGAGAGTA